ACTATTTGCAAAATCGCATATCTTAAAACCTCTTCGGGCGATGGTTGTGAACAACATTTTTTTCAAAGAAAATTCTATAGAAATCGGTATCATCTGCAACTTTTAGAAAAAGTGAGAAAATGCATAAGTTTTTGATACTAGTATAACAATTAAAATTTTAAAGGTAAAGTGAGAAAAATAATTTAAATGTTTCTTTTTTCTGTAAGGATTAACAATAACCTCGAAAGGGTGCATTTTGATTATTTACATCATTTTCATTTTAAAGTAAAGGTATAAAACATGAATCTAAAGTATTCTCATCACTTTTATTTTTGAGGAAAAAAAATAGGTCAAGATTTGTATTGATACAGTACCTTTTTCCTTTAATTAGGTTAAATCTTTACATAGATAACACAAAATCCACGGATAAGAACGAAAAACCACCTAATATACAATGTACACCTATGATACTTGTGTTACATTTCAATTTCAACTAAGTAGGTCAATGACCTAAATTTCATGTAGGCGGCTCCTTAGCATTTCTTTATAATTATGAATACCTCAATTTTGCCCTCTATGACCATTTGTCCTTAATTAAAAAAAAACGATATTACATGCAGCAAAACTCTTTAACTAATAACAGATTATAGGTACAGAACAGCGTTTTTCATATAAATAAGTGATTATAGTGTGGACCATATTTTTTTTGAAATTTAACAGTCCGAATCTCTTCTGTCATATTTCTATTTGATCTCCTTTTTATGGAATAGTATGAGACTCTGAATATTAAAAACTCAGAATTATGTTTAGCTTCAGATTCCTTTGCTGTTCTTCTTCTAATAGTATTAATATAATATGAGGTCAATGGTCTGATAATTGAGATCATGTTTTCTGGATCGGAATAGTTTTTGTTTATATATTTTTACTTATTTCATATAATATTTTTATTAATTTCAAATAATTCAGAAGTTTTTATACACATAATATTTGCAGAATGATGTTTTAAAATACATCTGCTTTTTACATTGTTATTTATATCTAAGAAATAATTTTTTAAGTTGATATTGTATAAAAATAAAAAGAGTTTCTCTCGTGTAGTTTTTCACACAGAAAAAAAACCTAAACCGTAAGGATTCATCATATATCTTAACGATAAGAAGGTTTATTAATGTTGTTAATTTTAGAGGGATGATGAGGAAGAAGATGAAAATAAAGCGGAATTGGATGATTCTTACGATAAAATATCCTCGGATGAAGGGATATGTGTAAAAACATAAGTGAAGCTTAGAAATTATTGTTAAATCTCAAAGGACAAAATAAGCTTAAGCCCCCATTGGAGCGTATTTTAGAATAATCTAACACAGTATCAGTAGAAAACCCGTGTAAGCCATGTCAGAAAAGTTGTATTGGGTCTTTTAAAAATAAAAGCCAAGACGAAAATTGATTTCCTGCCCACCCCGTGTTATTAGTTGTCCTATAAAATATGTACAAAACACTTCTCCCATTACAAAATCAAACTTAAAAACAAAATATTTTCGTAAACCTCTAAAATTTGGCCCCATAAAATCATGTGTTCTGTCCACATGTGTTCTAGTAATAACAGAACTTTTACAAACGTTTAAACCACATTATATTTTGAAGTTAGGCTCACATTACTAAAATATTTTCCTTATCATATTGAAAAATATAGCAAGATTACCAATTAACCCTTTGAATACATCAATTTTGTCTGGAAAATATATATATATTTAACGAGTTGAGTGTGATGCAACGTCAGGAATTGTTACTCAAAGCGTCAAAACGACGTCAATATGAATTGTTTACGTGCGGTGTTTAAATTTGTTTTTCAAAAACTACATGTAATCTCATTGAAATAATTAATGGTAGTAATTTGTTGACAGAACCTTGGGTAAATATACTTTTTTTTCGATAAAGCAGATCATCAAAAGAAATTACGCTGTATTTTTAATTTTCTACATTTATCATTGCTTTCTTTATTGTATATAAAAAAAACATTCTGCACTTGCATGGATTTGAAATTATAACTACACTTGTATGCGATAATCTTTTTATGGTGATCATTTAAAAAATATCAACAGAAAGAGCATTGAATTTTCATTGAATTGGACATCTTAAAGGACTTTTATTTCAAAGGATGTGGGTATCTATTCTCTTAACAGAGGTTGTCAACAAACATATTATGTCTAATTATGAGGTAAGGGAAAGATCCTGTAAAATATCAAAGAGATGCGAGAAGATTTTTCAACTTTTTTTCTAGAATAAACTCTGTTGAAGGTATTTTTCTGTTACGACGGAACAAGACGGAAATAAACGTTATTCCGGAATATAGTAGTTTGTCAATGTGTACATACCTTGTAATATTGCTTCGTTTTGTTGCTACATGATTTGGTGAGAAAATACCTTCAATTTGATATAAAACACTACATGTTCATTATCAGGATTGTACTGCAAATGTAAGCTGAAAAAGGATTAAGCGATTTTTTCGTATTAGTAGCAATTCCTGATGTTACGTCTGTACTAATGCGCCTTTTTGATTTAAAACTTGTGATTTTTCGAAATCAATAATAATTAGTACGTACTAAATGTATAATTTCTCATTTATTCATGACAGCAGAATACAACACAAAAGAATCACAAGACTAAAAAACATCGACGAAAAAGAGGAAAATCAAAAAAGAGAAAAAAAGGTCTGGCCCCAGGATCATGAACCAAACTTAGACGTAAGTCAAAATTTCAATCTTCTGTTAAATATTTATTATTTATTGAATAAATCTTTAATTTTGCAAATAACGCCTCTTGTGTAAAACAATATTAGAAAACAGTTTGGTTTTGGCCTGTTTGACTTCCACAACATTTGAGTACAACAGAAAAAAAATGACTTAAGCTTAAGATGCTTCATGATCCCGAGGCCAGGATTTCAGCAAAAGATATAGATATTAATCTATGAAAATGAAGATGAGGACAATGAAAGACAGGGAGAGAGAATTAATATCTTCTGAAGATTGGAAAGGTGCTAAAGTTGAATTAAAGAATACGTCTAATTTATTTCACTGATTAAAACGTCAAGTGCAAAAGTCTTAAAAGAATTATATTTTAGCATTCGACGATGACGGGATATAAGACATTATACCGCATCAGACAAATTTGTACATTACTGATTGGTTAAAAGGAAATCACATGACGTCCTAAAATTTTCCGTATTACGTCGCCGTCAAGGAGTAATACGAAAGTCGGGCATGCGATTCCGTTCAAAGTGTTGTTATTGTGAATAAACCAGAATAGGACGTAAATGTTTTTCTAGGTAAAATAAAGTTTAGAAGAATCTTTGAAAACTTTTTCTCAAGAACAATAAATCTGCAATAAGCCAAATAAAAAAGAAAGTATTTGGTTTAAGTTTGATTGGCATGGGATTTGAATACGATACAGAAACATATTACGGAAAGGGATATTATTAGTTACACAGTCAGTTAGTGACTTAATACGGATTCATACAGGGTCTGAAATGGAAATCCGTATTGGGCGAGGCGAAGCCGAGTCCCAATACGGATTTCCATTTCAGACCCTGTATGAATCCGTATTTAGGTCACTAACTGACTGTGTTACGAATTTATCCCGCTGAAGACCTTTATCAATGTTTATCGATATTAAAAAAGAACATTTGTGCATATTATGAAAATATTAAGTTTTAATCCAATAACAATCAACATAAAATATCGTTACGGTAACAAGAAATTTAACTAAACTACCTACGTAAACCGTTTCTTAGCCGCCATTTTTATTTACAATAACAACGCTTCGAACGGAATCGCGTGCCCGATTTTCATATTACGCCTCGACGGAGACGTAATACGGAAACGGAGACGTAATACGGAAAATTTCAGGGCGTCACATGATTAGCTTTTATCCAATCAGTAATCGACAAATTTGTCTGAAGCGGGATGTACTTGTTTACATAGTTGAGATAAGACTTTGTTCAATTTTTTACTTAGAGGTAATGTATCTTAAGGTCAGGTCAAGGTCAAAACCTTTTCCCTGGTCATTAAAAATAAAAATGACTGCATTCACTCAGATAGGGTCAGATAGGGTCTTCTATTTCAAAAGATTAAATGCATTAATAGACGTTACCATATAGGGTCTATAAGACGGTATTGACAAATTGAAACAAATAGTTTAACACAAATGGATTTTGGCTAATCCGAATTTTCTCTATTTTTTTTTTTATTTTTTAGGATATTTAAGTTATTTTTATATGCGCCCTATAATTAACTTGTTCTTATTTTCATATGGTAAAGCATTCATATGGAGATACAAAATGATACAAACACATGAAGTTCTGATTGTTTAGTAAGAGAGTAAAACCATTTTCTATTGATATCTGGCTCATACCTGTACTTAAAGTTGAAACTTTTAAAAGCAAATATAATTGTAGTTTGTTTTGAAATTCATATTTATATGATATATTTTAAAACTTTAGTTCCTAATATTATTAATTTAGCTAACATTTGAAATTTCTTATAGTCTTTGATTGGGTAAAAATCATAAATAAATTTGTAGTTCTATAGTAATTTTGAGAGGCAGAAAAGAAGATATTTTCATACGCCACCATTCCACCCAAAAATATAGTCCCACCTAGTTTTCAAACACAATTGACCATTTCTATTTAAAGTTGTAAAATTGTGATGAGGAAAGAAAAATATGGTCTTTTGAATCTCTTCCACCTAAATGCATAAGGCATATAAGCAAAGATACATTGAATATTTCATCTACTCAGAAACCAGAGTATTATCCTACCTAAAACAGACAAAAATGTGTGAAGAAATGCAACGCTGTGGATATCAAATTGAGTTAATTAAGCATAAATATTCCTAAACTACTTCAATATATGTTTCTGGGAACATCACAAAGATAATTATATTAAAATACCAAAAAATAAGTTAGGTAGTAAATAATCGTGTCAAACAAAGTGTTTAAGAAACGAAATTACTTGTTGTAATCATTGATGAAACTTTCTCCTTGAAATATCACATGAAAGCACTTGTATGCAAGATCTACAAATGAAATGGCATTTTAAGAAGAATAAAATATTATACGTAAAATGAAGCGTTGTTTAAGATGTTTATTTACTTTGGATTTTCTAAGCTTATATAATGCACTTCTGTACTGTAACTTACAATTAAAGACTTGCTGAAAATGTAAAAATAACAAGAAAAGAAATATTACAAACACATGCTGCAATGGTTATTTTGAACATCTGATTTTTTTTCAAAACCAATTTCTGTCATGTTCACACCACTCGATTGCATGCCTTGATCAGATAACTATCTAATGGAAAGCCATTTTAGAGTATAAAGTATTGCATGAATTTGTGCTAGATAACTAAAATGTTTGAATATATATCAGACATTGACCAGAGACTAACAAGAAAATACAATACAATTTTGTTGTATGTACAGATTGCAAAGACTGAAAATTTTCCTGATCCTTCATGATCCTTCAGTGTTTCTGGTACTATAATGTGGAATACTTTGTACGAAAATATCAGGACAGTGAGTGTTGCATGTTTTTAGGGAAACGATCTTGAATACAACGTACATTTTAACTTATTTAGTAATTTATTTTATTTCATATTGTATATTTATTAGTTTTCTTATACATGTAATAATATGTTTTCTTTTTTATTTAAAGTATGGTTTACTAATTCCTGTCCGTATGCATGCTTAAAGTGCAGAATCATATGTGTAACTAACATTTTTGCTTAGCTATTTCATTCTGGATAAATAAACACTATTTCTATTATATTATAGCTGTCATTATTGTTTATATTACAATGTTTTACTAGTTTGTAAATAATATTTATTCTAAAAAATGAGTTAAGATTTATCTTTCATCCACAAGCACATGTATGATATTTTAAGAAACCATTAGTTAACTTTTCCTTCTAGGCACACGTTTGCATTGCAAATACTTCCCAAGTGTAGAATGGATATAAATCACAAAAGATAAGTGAATATTATTTACGAACCAGGATAACTCGGTCATTCTAATTTGTTTAAGGGAACTTAGGGAAGTTTTATAGCGTGGAAACTTCAAAAAAAAAATCTGTGATTTGAACTACGTGTAACTTACGTTGACTTCAGTGTATATACAAAGTTTAACACAAATCTACTGTCTAGGAATTTTTAAGGAATCTCCTCAAAATGCAGGTACATTTACTAGATTATATACCAAACTGATAACTTTTCGCACTTTAAAGAAAATTATACAAAAATATACATTTTTCTCAATTTATAACACAGGATGAGTAATGTTATTTTTACAATATGTGTAAGATACACGAAATTCAACCGTCTTGATTACGTAGGAGGTATCTCAAAATTATCCAAAATTTCCTGATTTTATTGAGTACTAGCCAAAGTGACAAAATATGAAAATATAAAGAATTTATATATATATGAAAAAAAAAAAAAACGATTCAGAGAATCTCAATTGCTCATGGTTTAAATATCAAGAGCTAATAATTTATTTAATATTTAAGCTAAGTTGTTCAATTTATCATAGAGTAAAAAGCACACTTTTGAGAGGTAAAACTACCTATCATTTGAAAAAAAATCAGTTATTCGCAATGAAAACTCCAGTTGGCCCCCTTAATTTCAACTATTTATATTACAATTTTGCAATTTTTACTGACAGATGTTATCTATTGTAACTTTGAATGCATAAGAATGATAAAGAAATAATATTAATACTAAAAGCAAAACATGCACACACATGAACACGAATTTGATCTGTTAACACCGATTCCTATTGTCCTTGAAATTAATAATATACAAAAAATAATATGTTGTACATGTACAAGGGTTGTTCAAAAAGTTCGTGGACGATGTCAATCCTCGTTATACTGTTTTCAAGAAATTTAAGATAAACACAATGGAATATGTCGACATGTTTTGTAACGGCAGAGCAGACTTAACGACAATGAAATGTCAAAACATAGCGTCAAGAATTTCTCAAAAATACTATCTGTCTAAATTTTACACGGAATAATCCAACACGATCCATTAAAAACCCTTTGTTTTACTTGACAGTAATTTTTTAACACTTATTGTTTTCAACTTTATCACAGTTTCCAGTCGCTGCCTGCTTATTGATTATACAGGACGATGTCTCATTCTCTGTATCATCAGTGTCTAAAATAATCCCTCGATTTTCACTTTCACAGTATGTTTCATTTTGAAAAGATGTAACCAACGTTGAATCTGATTTGTTTGTAGGGATATCATGATTTATATCGCCTGTATGTAATGCCATCCCATTAGAAGTCGGAGGTTGTTTAACCGAATTTCGTGTTCTAGACCGTGTTGTTCTGGTACTTCCGGTCTGGTTCGTTAAATGCCGGTGCCAAACTTTTTTGAATTCCGTCTGAACCTGGATATAGAATGATGAACATAGCAGGAAATCAGTAACATAGCAGGCAATCAATGAATGGCTAAAGAAGAAGGTATGTTTTTAGCTTTATTGCGCCGTAAAAGTAATGCCATCAAAAAGTTTTGAAACTGGTTTAGATATTAGTTACGTATATGACTCTGATAAATCAGGAAAGAATATGGCAAGTTTACCATTCTGCATATATGACGTCCTGAATGTGAAGCATTTCTCTATTTTCAACAGAAAAAGCCTCAAAATGGCACAATTCAAGGGTGATTTTCCTTTACAAAACAGTGTCCACAGCCGTCGCCCACGTTAATTTTTTTATATTTTGTGCAAAATTTGATAGCAAAATCACATATCTCAAGATCTTTGTGGGCGATGCCTGTGGACAATTTTATCTGAAAGAAAATTCCATTGTAAATTGGTGTCTTATGCAACTTTCTAAGAAAATAGGGAAAGTGCACATGCTTATGACGTCATTATTAGCACTTAAAAACACATGTAAGAAAAATGATTTGTATGATTTTTCTGCAGTGAATTTCAATTATTTAAGAAGCAGGAGTTTTCAACTTTTACACCAGTTTTATATTTTTAGAATATCACAGGGCAAAATTTTTATGGAAACCATACCTTCTTTTTATGGAGTACCTATTAATTCGGATTTATTACAGTTATTCATGTTAAAAAGTTTTTTCATAAATGAATACATCTTAAAGTTATAACTTGAACCAAACGTATATATTTCTCTCCTTAAGGTTACAACCCATTAGACAAACGTTTTGAATACTTTTCTTTATACTTACTTTAGTACCATACCAAAATCAAAATTTTAAAAGCAGATAAAAAGGCACAATATTTAGCTAGGGATTGAATTAGAGTGAATCTTCAGCAAAATATTTTTAATGATAAAGAAAATATTGGAAAATGGTATAATAACTCTAAAACCAGATGTCTCTGTCGAGACTATTGCTCTACTGGTTTATACTTAAAACAAAGGAAGAGAAAAGTAGAAGTTGGGACTTGAAACTTTAGAACAGCAATAATTAGAAAAATGATCCTTGCCACTCATCAAAATAAAAACTGATGAATGATTGTGAATTATGTATCTTAATTTAGTGTACTTATGTGTCAGGTTATATTGAAATCAGACCAAAACTGTAAGAGGAGTAGCATTTTGAAAGAATTTCACAGAAATTTCTATTTTTATTATCCATGGCAATATCATTCATCGTAATCAAAAACCGATGCACAGAATAATGTATCTTAGTGTAGTCTACTTATGTGTAAAGTTATATTAAAATCGGAACAAAACTGTAGAGAAGTAGCATTTTGAAAAAAAAAAATCATAGAATTTTCTATTTTTAGTAACCAAGGCAACACCTTTCATCGAAATCAAAAACCAATGCACAGAATTATGTATCTTAGTGTAGTCTATTTGTGTGTAAAGTTATATTAAAATCGGACCAAAGCTGTAGGAGGAGTAGCATTTTGAAAGAATTTCAAAGAAATTTCTATTTTTAGTAAGCACGGAAACAACGTTCATCAAAATCAAAATCTGATGCACAGAAATATGTATCTTAGATAAGTCTATTTGTGTGTAAAGTTATATTGAAATCGGACCAAAACTGTAGGAGGAGTAGCATCTTGAAAGAATTTCAAAGAAATTTCTATTTTTAGTAACCACGGCAACACCGTTCATCAAAATCAAAAACCGATGCACGGAATAATGTATCTTAGCGTAGTCTACTTGTGTTGAAATCAGACCAAAACTGTAGGAGGGGTAGCATTTTGAAAAAAAGTTTACAGACGGACGGACGCCGGATGCATTACTATCGCATAAGCTCTTCTGGTCTCTGACCAGTAGAGCTAAAACATGGCTTATTACTAATGCCCGAACTTTTTATGAACTATATTATATTGATCTTTTTTCCATCTCAAGAGAAGGAATGTGGATAATTTATTTCATTGTAATATTACAATAATGATGATCATGATTGTTTCTTACCTCACTGTTCAGGAAACAAAAAAGCATCGCCAGGATAAAACCCTAAAATAAAGAAATATAAACTCGGTGAGATTCTCTATTAAAATAGTACATTTAAATCCACTTATACTGAAGTGGCAGGAATTAAAGTAAAGGAAAAGATAATTCAAAAAATGCGTTACTGTGAAAGATATTAAAACAAATAAGCAAATTATAAATTACATGCACCTTACTGACACAACAGAATGTCAACCAAAAAAGCCGAGTTTTGAATTTGCATGAGAAAACAAGAGGTCTATGGGCCACATCGCTCAGCTGAGCACCGTGGCTAAGAGTAAACTCAGAAATAAGTTCAGTATTGAAAAGTTTGAAGCCATACATAGTCCCAATCTAACCTTTAAGTTGAAGGGGTATGATCTAAACAAATTTGAATGTACAAGTACACTTTCTAAGGATCCTTGCATAGGTTTATGACTTACTGTGAATGACTCTGAACTCGGGTTTTTACTTTAAAGTTTAACTTCAAAGGGCCAATGCAAGCTCTTGGCATGAAAGTCGTTACCCAATTTTAAATGTAGTATGTAACTGATCAATTTGATTGATTTAGATACACCCCTCCACCTTCATATGAATTATACATACTAGGAAAAAAATGCAAGGATGCAAAATTTCTTATAAATGACATCTGTTCCCATATCCTTGAAGGAAAGGTCAATTAAGTACAAAAAGTATAAAGAAAATGAATTGCAATTTATTCCGTATTAAACCACTATCCTGAACATATAATTTCATCCAGGATTCTTTAAACGTCAAAAGTGATGACAAATATAGGAATTAAATTGATTTTACTTATTAATTTGGTCAAATATATTTTACTTTTCCTTTTATCCAAAAGGAGCGTGAACACAATTTTAGCTAAATTAAAAAGAAATGTTTACAAAACATGTTGTTATAATCATGAATATTTTGAATGTCAGTTATTGAGAAACAAAAGTGATTTAGAGCTCCAAATCATTTTAATGTAAACAAGACCCGATCCATGTCTTTCTCTACATAGGTTAAATATACTAATACAGGTATATGTTCGTTTAAAGCAGTTTTTTTCATTATGCACGGTAATTTTGAATACAATTAGACATATCTAATGGTTTGTTGAATCTAGTTTTCCTATAAATATGATATATTCTTTGTATAAACAAAAAACAAGTCATGAGTCTTGTTAACATTATAAAGAATATTTAAAGAATCACTGTCTAGTTTTGAGAGTATGCCAGGGCATCAACAATAGTGCGAAACATGGGATAATTTGCATAACGGGCGAAGCCCGTTATGCTCGAATTATCCCATGTCCCTGGCATACTCTCAAAACTAGTCAGTGATTCCTTATATTTCCATATTTCATTGTGAAATCAAATTGTAGACTTAGACATTAAGAATGTAGACTAATCGATTTAAATTACACGAGGACTTCCATGCCAATTTCAATAGTCCTCGCACACTGACGTCAAACACAAGGGCAGCCGCACTAGATTTACATGCATTTTTGGTCTCCTTAGCGTCAGACACAGAGACAGATGCGCACGAGATTTGCATGCGTATTAGGCCTTCTTAGCTGCTGACCTATCGATCTGCCTAATTTACATTCCGGCAGAATTATCAGGAAATCAACTTTGCTTACTTTCAAAGGGTTATTATAGAGAAAAAAAAATAGAAATGGAAATGTTAAGTTTAAATCACCTTTGTAAATCAATAAAAGACATTAGAACTGCCTTAGTTAGGAAAATGTACATTATAAATGGTAAAAAGAAATCAGTTGAAACAGTGACCATGCATCTTTAACCTCCAAAAGGTTGATGCGACAAATATTTACAATATATAGGATGTGATATAAAGATGATTCGAATCTCACAGAATTGAATATGTGCTAGATTTTAGTATTTATAGATGAATGTTTTCTTTAAGAGCCTGTCTACGAGAAAACCATGCAGATATATAGAAAAATGCTCTGGTAGGCACTCTCAAGAACAAACTTATTTTTATTATTAACTTAAAGGACACCCATTGAGAGTCAGAAATATGTTGTTTATTTTTGCATCGGTTGTTTCTATTTTTAGTAACAGCCAATAATTCATTTTGGTCAATATTCAAGGGAAAATGCAAAAAAGTTGGTGTAAAATTGACAATTTCAATATTTAAAAGTAAAAAAGAAAAAAACAATATATAAATAAAAGGGCAATGTTTTCTCATAGAACTAAGTCGTAAAATTGAGTTGGAATCAATTTTTTTGTAAAACTCCTATATAGAAGGCTGTCCCGAGGGCACACATATTGGCATGGTGCCAAGAAATATTAATGGTTCATTTTTTGTTAATATTCAGGGATACATTTCTTAGAAAGTGACGCTTCTTTTTTCAGAATTTTGTGCATTTAAGAATCTCTAGGATATTACCCCAACAATATGTAAAATCCACCTTTGGACTCTCAAGGACAGAAAAGTTATATTGTAATGAAATTACCTCAAATTCAAATAATGGAAAAATTCATGATTTTATAAAATTTACTTTTAACAGTAATTTCAATGAATTTTGTGTAAAATATTTACAAATATAAACAATGAAAATTATTTTTAATTTTATAAAAGCTATAAATAATTTTTTTTCCTGCTTTTCCTGTGAAAAAAACGTATTTTACTATTTATTTTGATTTAGTTAGAATTATCTCCCCTGTTGCGCTCTTCTGTAGAGAAGGTCGATAATGATTATGTTTACGAAGTTTATAGACAGATGTCTGTCATCTAATCGTTTTAGGCATAAATTATGTGTGATTTGAAGAAAATTGTCCCTCCTGTGAATGTTATTTGTTACGTATATACTAGTGGCCTATGTATAAAATGCATAAAAAATTATGAAAACCATCGGGATCGATATACGGTTCCGTAACCACGTGTAAACATTATGGCATCCTGAGACGTTTTGTTGCCGTTTTGTACGTCCTCAGAAAAAGATTCAGGTGCGTGAATTGTCAATGAGTCTTCAGATTCTGGCTCTGATTTTGATGAATATTATTCTGACGGCAAACATTCATTTGGTAGCAAGACGGATGCAGTGATGATGATACCGAATCAACAATGTTTGAATTTGAAAAAAAGAAACAGGTAGGTGGATCTTGGTTTATAATACTATGACGTACCTTATAAAAAGGTTTATTGATATGTAAAAAATAAATAAATAAACAATTTTGATGGGGACTTGATTATGGACAAGAGAAGATTTTTACAAGACACTTTCAGGTCTGGTACAATCACTAGATTTAGCTATATATGTAGTTTGATTTACCTACTTAGTTAGCTTTATTTACCTACCTGAAGTAGCTTTATTTAGCTACCAGAGTAATTTATTTCTATAAAAAATACCTAAATCTAGTGATTGTAATGGACCTGAATATATACCTAGCAAACCTGTCAAGAGAAATTTCAAGGTTGGTACTTGTACATGTAGCAATAAAAATATCTGTATAAATTCAACAATATTGCAAAATATTCACTTCTGCAGAATAATTAATAGCATAAGTAGCCTTTGTGGGGTGATGAAGAGGGAATGAAAAGTTGAATAGGTCCAGGGTTTTCAAAGACTGTTTACTATTACTAATAGGGTACATTAAGAATTGGATAGGTGGGTCTTCCCTGTCAATTAAATTACCATTATTGCCTCATATGTGGGCTGCATGATTATAAAGAATCTCATTAAACAAAATATTTTTTTTTTTAGATATTTATGAAATGTTATGAAGATGGCTACAGTTATGATTTTAGGCTTTGGCTGCTTTTCATGTATGAATAAAGGAAAAAGAGTTGTCAAATACTTGTGCAGACTTTTCAAATTAAAGGTCACTGGGATCATGTGTTCCTTGACAGGTTTGTGTTTAAAACATAACTAATATTATAAATATAAGTCTGGGAAATTATACTTTGTAAAGAATATTTCCTTTCATTCTTAATTATTTCTCGTGCAATTTCAGATTATTCAAATTCATTTCCCTGGTTAGGGCTGGGCTTTACAATGGGATTTTCAGCTGTGGAGCTATAAAGAATTACTACATAAGGTTTCCAATGTAGTTTTGCGAACAGAATCCAGAAATAAGAAGAGGAGAGACAATGCAGATGCAGCATTAGCATTACCAATTACTTACCACTGCTGAGAAAATGGTAAAGATATGTTATACATGTATTATTATACCTCTACTGTAATAACTCTGTATAAATTAATACCTTAAAAATTCTCTACTTCCCCGAGAAGTGACTATTGCCCTCATCTGAAGACTACTCCCTGGAAAATCAGAGCTACTCCCTGGGACTAATCCCTCATGAATATTTATTAGTAATTTTAACCAATCAAAGTGTTCAGTGGGTGGAGCGTTCAAGGAATCTCGAATCTGTGATGTCATGTTATTTGCAATGTAGCTATGACTTCAAAACATTTCGAGGTGCAATGTCAAAATCATACTTGAATTCTACCAAAACGAAGACAACGATAATTTTTTCGAAATGTCAGTGAAAATACTTTTTAAAAATGATTTAATTGTTTAAGGACATGATGCTTCACTTATCATACATTGTGTTAAATCGCATGCATTTGTAATTATGCCTCAACAGTTTTTTTTTTAAATGTCGGAATATCTGGTTAAAAAAATTTATATCGCCTATCATTGTTTCGGTATAATAAAAAAGTCATGGAATGGGAACTCGGGAAATAGCAAATTTACAGTTCCCCTCCTCCCTCGGGGAATCATAAATTTGCTATTTCCCTCATACCCATTTCATATCTGTATACTATAGTACATGGATAGGAATTGCCTTGTCTGTCTGTTGATTTGCCACATGCATTTTTCCCTACTCTGTTACTTTACTTCAAGGATATATGAAGCTCTTGTTTCCTTCAAAGATAGCCAGAAGAATTTGTGAAGAATCTTACCCAAGTCATTTGATGACATTTTCTTCAATTGATAAATATAAATGTAGCATTATCATAAACATGACATTTATTTTAAAAATCTTAGAATATGTCTAGTATGGTTTATTTCAATTTAATTTGAAAACTGTCCTTTTTCACAGGTACATGCTTTGAGTACTACTTTTGTGTATTTGGAGGGAGTCCAGTTGTTCTTTAAACCAGAAGTGGAAATTTTAGTGCTTGTTAAAGAACTATATGCGGTATATTGCATATGTTTGCCCCCACAAAAGTCAAATTTTGAAAACTTCCTGAAATGTGCTGAATTCAATAAATTGTACGAGAAATATAAGTTAACAGAAAATATTATAGTTCCAGAGCAGTGTATTCACAATTTCTGTTTTTATGACGTCACAAACTAGTCCGATTTTGTATCCTTTTTCAGAAAGAGGACAAAATGGACAAAATTTCAACAATTTAAGCTTTAAAATTTATAGAGCGCATGTGTGTTCAGGAACAATATTGACATATTTCATTGATATTATCATTCTACACATTATATCAAAATATTTATCCTGAACACACATGCGCTCGGTGACTTTTATTTAAAATATCGACGAAATATGTACATTTTTCTGCAAAATTCATAAAAAACTGAAATTTACGTCATATTTGTGACGTCATTACGTACATATGACGTCATTACTTATGAAATTATTCAGTGCTTTGAAGTCAGCATATACTCCCCTGTTTAATGACTTAATTAAATATTACTCCATCAAAGTTTGATTTTGGGGGGCAAATGTTGGTTAATACCGCATATAGTTCTTTCTCCAGAAGTTATTGGATGCTACATAGAAAGAAAATGGGGTCATACTGAATAGAATAGTTTGGATACACCTTATAGATTTTGAAAGCTTGAGACCTCAAGATCAACCCAAATGGTGTACCAAACATGAAGAAAAAAAGACAGTTTATGATTGAAGAAGCTTGTGTAGTAGCCAAAATTTCAGGGTATTTCTTATATGTTAACTTATACGATTTTATCAGTACATGTACTTAAACATTGTTAATATCTTGATATTTAATATGTATCAGGTTTCACTTGCAGGAATACTAAAAAATTCAGAGTAAATTTTAAGTGTTTGTTATGTTAGAAGAGATCAAAGTTCAAGGTCAACAGTGCTTTAGTTTTACCAAATATAACACTATTATAAAGACTAATTTCCTGTATACAGGTATAGCAAATAATTCAGAATATGATTTGGGGAAACTGTGATTTTTTCTTTTAAATCTTACCTTAATTTAGAACCATGATGTATACTTAAGCAAGTAGATTTTTTTCAAGCATACAAAATTTCAAGGTCATTTTAATTTTGGAAGTGAATATAAAATATCAGGAAGCAGTCAAGCATTGTAATTTTTGTTGCTGTTGAATGTACTTAGTTATTGAGTAATATTCAAATTTTAATCTGCAATGAAATTAAAATTTATAAATGTTCTAATTTGTTGATTTTTAAAACTTGGTGTTCATTCATTTGGAGTTCGTTGCCATGACAATATGTCTGTCAAGAAAATGGCTATGATATTCCTTTTTGTTCAGTTTGACCCTTGACCTTTGACATTGTGACCTCAAAATCTAAAGGGGTCCTCTACTTTTCAAGAAACCAGTGTACTAAATTTGATGTCTGTCGAGCAATTGGTCCTCAAGATTTTGAATGATTACAATCTACATACTGGTATATCGAGAATTATAACCCTTGACCTTTGACCTTGTGAACTTCAAATTAAAAGAGTCCATCTACTTATTAGTAGGTACCAGTGTACTATGTTTATTATCTATCAAGCAAATATATATTTTTTTTAGTAAGAGAGAACACACTTGGTCTACTGATTGACAAACAGGTACTTAGCAGTATGTGAATGTCACCCTGCTCAAAGAAAATGTAAAATGATACAATTCTGGTAACCCCCCCCCTTTAACCCCATTTAACCCCCTAAGAAATAATTATTGAAAACAAAAATGTACAATATACTGGTATTTTTCAACAGCAAAATTTAAATTTTTGAAAATATTTAAATCAGCAAAATAACTCCTTGCTGAAGTTTAGGGATGAGAAAATTTGAAAATTCACAAAAAATGTCCAACTTTAAGTAAAAACTACAGCAAAATATTTGAGAGTCCAAAGACAGATTTTTTATATATTGTAGACAGACATGTTGTCTAATAATTGGTATGAGATTGAGTTGATTCTAAGCGTCACTTTCTGAGTTATAGAGTTTTGAAAAGTGAATAATTTCACCAGTTTTCAAAAATCTGGAAATATGCCAGATTTGTGACCTTTTTGCACTTAAACGAGGGCACAGTTTGTGATTATGAAAAATTTTCCGAAACAGGTGTGTCTTGTTACTTTCAACCATATATGGATATTTTATATCATTATCAAGTAAAATGCTGAATTTTTAAATTTAAAATCCTATAAAATTCCTGTTTTCACCATGCGTAAGGACCAATAATTCTATTTTTAGTAACAGTGTCGATTTACCCCCTTAAGTGAGACCACACTGAAAAAAATTTTGTGGCAAAATATTTCATATTATAGAAGAAATTTACACACAAAATATGAAGTTGATCTGAGAACCTTGCTCCCATAACCTCTTGCATGGTTTTCTTGTAGACATGCTCTTAAATCAAGGATTATTGGACTTTTATGGGAAGCAATAACTTTTACATTTGAGGCTTCTTTGACATTTAAGCCTGTATTATATATTGAGGTGCGTCATTGATTATAGATAAGAACACTTATCTAGTGATCATAGGTTGTGCCCCTAATGTTGTTAGGGTCACTAACATGTGAATAAAGGAATTGAAGAATAATTCTGACCACCACAGGATGAAGTAAATCATGGACCTCTCATCTAGGTAGCCAAAGCTTGACATGAGGTAATTAACAGAGTAAATGACGTAATAAACCCCAAACAGGGGGATCAGGATCAGTGTGGATTTGGCCAAGCGTCTGAAAAACAAAGACAAAGCATCATTTAAATGTTTAAAACGAGCTAATGTATAAAGTATGTCAAAACAAAACAAAAAAAAAGACAAAGCATCATATAAATGTTCATAATGAGGTGCTGTATGAAATATGATGAAACCATGAAATGAGGGAGGGTTGATTAAGTTAAGCCTCTGAAAACAAAGACAAACATCATTTAAATGTTTAAAGAGAGTTCTAATGTATAAAGTAATTTTGGATTTCCCAAATGCAACAAAAAAAAAAAGGTTTCCATCAAATATTTAATCATATAAATTGTTTGATACATACTTGAATAGAAAACTGTTTACAAAGGATTTGAGCATGGATTAAGCTAAGCGTCTGAAAACAAAGACAAAGCATCAATCAAACGTTTTATAATGAGGTGATGAACAAAGTATATGATATTATAAACCCCAAACAGGGGAATCAAGAGTCAGTATGGATTTAGCCAAGCGTCTGAAAAACAGACAACAAGCTTCATCTAAAATTTTATTATAAGGTAATACAGAGACTTTTTCTTGAAAAAAAAAACCAAGAATCATCTTAATGTAATATTATTGATAGATAATATAATTTTACATAGCATAAGTAATTTCACAGTTCACATAAATTGGTGTACGTATATAATTTTACCATGTTTATTATGTAAATAATTAACGTGATCAGTTGATGTATATGATGTAATTAAACCCGAATAGGGATCAAGATTACAGTTAATTGGGCCAAACCACTGAAAACCAAAGATAGAAAATCATCTAATGAACAGAAGTGGGTTCAGGATATATATTTTATCATTATATAATTTTTGATTCCCGAAAAGCAAGCTTACGGTAGTTGGGAAACATTAGATTTTCATCAACTATTTAATCAAGGAATTTGATACATACTTGAATAGGAAACTGTTTATCTGATGCCCGTTTGATGCATGGAGTTTGGTGAATAATATTCTCACAATGTTAATAAAGATAATAAACTGAATCTGAAAGAAAGTATAAATGTCAATAAAAAAGAGTTTACATGCCATGATCTTTACATTTGAAGTACACGTTCTAATTCATACAATGTAAAATTACTGCAATTACATGTATGTTTTATTGTGCCAAAAAATTAGTACATATGACGAAAAGGTATAACTGTGCATGGTATTACTCAGATGTTTATACCTGTATATTCAATCGATCCAACAATTATTATTTTTATTTTTGACAGTCACATATTTTTACTAGCACAATTTGAAACACATTTCACAGTTCATATAAATTGGTCTACATATGAAAGTTTACCAGAACTGTTACTGTGATTGGTCCGTATATAATTAACGTGATCAGCTGATTCTTCTGAATGTTCCAACAGCTGGAAACGAAAATAAATGAAATAAAATTTCTGAAGAAATATTAATATATTATTTTTTTTTTATTTTTGCCGCTAACACAAAATTAAACATTTTCATAAAAAAGAATTATATTAAAACTACTGTGGCTTAAATTACATAGCGATTGATCAGAATAACAAGAAATCGATGTTTACTTATAAAGTTTTAATAACAAACAAACAAAAGCTTTCTCGGACATTTCATGAAGCTTTTGTATCTCCTTTCATGAAGTGGTGTTAAGTATAAACATTGAAATTTTCATCTTATAATGTTTGACATTAATGACCACATAACCAAGTCTGATTTCCTTCCATGTCTCTATTATGTATACTCACAGTTCATTGTATTCAAAGATTCGTACCAGAACCCAAGGTAGAACAAAGCTTACAGGAAACACTGGAAAAGAACACAAGAGGCATTAATTAAGGTATGAATTTAACGACCATAAAAGTCATACATGTACTGTATAACCTGCATGGATTGGGACGTTTTATTGTGCCCCGCCATGAATATTGCAGAGGTATATAGTATTTGTGATGTCCGTCTTCTCTCCGTCCATTCTTCCATTCTTCCATCTGTCCTTCCGTCGCGCTTTGTGTTAAGCTCACTTAAACGCTAATTTTCAATGACACTAGATATTTTTATCAAACCTCATATGCTGATAGATATAAATGAAATCTATGCAAAGGCGCCAACATTTTTTAACCTTGACCAATCATTTGACCTTGACCTCACTTTTTTCTTTAATTAAAGTTTAGCTCACTTTTCAAAATACCATTCAAGATAGCCATTAACTTCATTATTATTTAATTAGAAAATAGCATTTTTTAAATAATGAACTTAATCAAAAAACATTTGTTCATCCATATCAATTTATATAGAAATTCTTTCATTCTATGTTTTCACTATCTTACTTTATATAAAATTAATTCATTAAATTGTAATAAAATTTGAGCATTGCTTGGTTATTTTTAAATAATAACAATAATAGGGAATCTAATCATATTCTTGATCATTGCCAAATTTAATAACACGTTATTAAATATAACATCAGTTTCAATAAAACGGTGTTTTGATCATTACTGAATATAAATAAGTAAACATTTGATCATTCTTGTTAACTATTAAAAAAACAATGATCTGAGAGAGAAATAAAGATGGAACAAAAATTATCAGAAAATTAGAAAAGAAGCAATACTTACACCACCCCAGTAACATGAACCATTTCGTTCTGTTTTTTGTTGTGAATACAGGACCAGATAAAAGGAACTGAAGGTATATCGCCTCCACAAAAATCCACATATAGCTAGCAGCCAATGTATAGTTAAACAGAGTGAAAAATAGCCGACACTCCCAGTGCTGAAAACAGAAAATTTAATTTAAGATCTACATATAGCTAACAGCCAATGTATAGCTAAACAAGTGAAAGATAATCAACTTCCCTTACTTATGCAGCAATATACCTTCATCACCTGAATACGGAGTATATATGTTGCACTTGATTCGATTCGCAAGGGCATCGTCTACATGTGAACAATCCCTCAAACGAGGTAAATCATTGACAAGTATGTAGATAAAACAAGAACATCAGCAGTCTCGTTTAAAGTCATCATTTTATAAGTTTTATGGGTTATAGAATCAGCAAATACAATTTATCATTGAGTCAAAGGCTGTCTGGCGTTTTTCATTCTAATCGTTAGTCCATAATTTTAACACTGTATTGACGACGGCTTTTACCGTTATCATTACAAGGAGCACACGGTGGGTGTGACCGGTCAGCAGGGGATGCTTACTCCTCCATGGCACCTGATCCCACCTCTAATGTTTTGAGGTCCTTCTTTGCTCTGCTGCTATTTTGTATTGTTTTATGAGCTTAAATATTAAATAATATTCGTTATCTCTGTATCCGTCATATCCGTCCTCAGTCGACACTCCAAATACAGAAAGCAGAAATTGATGATCTACATATAGCTAGCAGTCAATATACAGTTAAACACAGTGGGAAATAGCCGACATTCCATACCCTTGAATCCGAAAATGTAATGAAAATATTAACTGTGATTTTGATAAATTTGCAGAAAACATATCAATTACTCAGCATGCTGGTGATTTTATCAATTGAAAATATCAGGTCCTACTGAGGAGACCTTAAAAGCCGAGGCCCTGTGTCACGACAGGCAGGTTAAAGACCCCTCACTGTTCAATGACCCTTAGTGCCGAGCAAAGGTCAAAAGAGCAAAAGCCACTTTCTGCCTTATTTGGCCCTGAGAAATTATGAAAAAACAAAACCGATCAGTTTAGGTTGCAAATACAGTATTTATCAGTTGGAGTGTTGGTGATCGCATATCTATTAATCGTGACGTATTTTCCAATCTAGTCAATTCATTATGACGTCATAAAATGCGTCATTTTCCTCATATCCTGTAATTTCCTTTAAAAATGACCAAAAGTTGAAGCATTTTTTTCAATATTTCATATAGAGCACAACCTCTGATCCAAAATATGCAAATACATAATAAAAGTTCTGTTTCTGAAGATCAAAAAACATATTTTATTTTTGGATCGTGGGCTGTGCTCATATTTTAATTCTTTGCTGAAGGTACTCAAATACGCATGTCTTCTTCAAATTTCAAGAACATTGCAATTTCTCAAACCTGTTCTCCAATATCTGGATTCTCAAAACGAAATTTTATTATAGAAAATGTGAGCACCAAGTGTCTACTTTTTTAAGGAATGAATCTTATTTCAACTTTTGTTATACGATATAAAATAACTTGGGGCAGCTTACGCTTTATTAAAAAAAAATCGTAAACTGCCCCAAGTTATGTTATATCGTATAATATAAGTTGAAATAAGATTCATTCCTTATAATTAAATGAAATTTAGACAAAGATACAATTTTTCATTTTTTTACCTTCGGGAAAAGGCTTCAAATATAACATATTTTAAAAATTTACGTCAAGCGAAGCAATAAGTTTTTGACGTAATTCATTGTGACGTAGGCAAGTTATGTTATACAAAATGGATAAAACCGTTTAACCAATCAAATGTCGTGTTAAAACTGAATGAAATTATTTTGATATATGTAATGGGAAAGAGGGTGATAGTTAATTAATTGATATAAGTACAGGGCCATTTGATGCATAAGATGGCTCTTGCTCTTTGAAGCCCTTCACTAGTGTATGGTGACAGCTCTATATTAATGAAATATTCTTGAATCAAACATAAAATATATACAATCAATCAGTCTATCAATCTATTAAGATTTGTTTGATTAGAATCCCGTTTCAACCAGAACACTCACTATGACGTCATTTCTAAATATAATGTTGCATTGTTCATCGTAATAAATATCCCCAGGAAACCCTACAGACTCCACCAACAGATGTTCCTTGATGAAGGTGACAATAGCACGAAGAATAAATGTCACAAACAGGTTGACATGGATGGTGTTCCTTGCGCAGTGGAGCTTTCTACAACAAAATTAGATTGTACGAATATACATGTGTTGGTTATATAGGGATGAATGGTTAAAGTTTTAACAAATCTTATTTGCACTGATATGAAAAAAGAAGCACATTACTCTTAATTAAAAAGTGCGATTTCTGTTTAAAAGTAATATTTTTCTTTAATTTTGCGTTTATTCAATTTATGTTGAAGATATTCAGAGTTCTTTCAACAAAATTTTTATTAGAATTACAAATAACAAATGCTTTGAATAAGTAAAAAAAAAGAACACTATTAAAAGTATTCCCTTATTCTACGAGTTCTGATTTTGGCATATTCTGGCAAGTAATACCCCGGATCACCTTTACGGTGTATACTTTACATGTAAGGTTACAGAAAATTACTCACTTGAAGTAAATCATGATAGCCACGGCTATCACTAAGGACGCCAGGGAGATACCGTACCCTATGTTATACATCAAACGGACCGATTCCACATATTGCTGAAAATTTAAGCAATTATTAAATAATTATCTATTTTTATTTACACGTGAAAATCTTAAGGTTAAAGATAACTTATAGATATCAAAATACAAAGCCAATGAATTACTAAACTCATTTGTTTGTCAGAAAATGGAAAACAATATATTGATTAAACGTAACAGAAATGGTTGATAAAACAAATCTTAAATCACTGTGTTTTCCAAAATGTGTGTATAAAGGATGTTTGTATTTTTATAGATTTCGTTTCGGTAATGATTCTTTGTACGATTCTCATATAAATATATAGCTAGTCCTTCTTCTTGAAAGTTAAATATTTTACATAGAAATAATATATTCAAGTGATGTATTTCTATATCAACAGTCATTACTTTTATTTTAATAAAATAATAAATGAATCTTACCTCAAATAATAATTGAAACATGAAAACTATACTTTCAAATTGTTTCTTTTGTGTTGTAATGATCAATTCCTTTTTTAATTATCATTATTTTGTGATTCCTATATTTACCTCGATCAGAGCTGGAACTGTGTTAGCTATAGCTAAAGGGTCGTCGTGAGTGTGTGACCCGAGACATAGGCTAAAATTAGTCCATGTCTTGTTGAAGGGATTAACAAACCAGGACCCATCCTCGGTACATTGTTTAGAATCTTAAAGCGTTCTTTGTCTTAACTTTTAAGACTGCTTATAGGCAGTCTTAAGTTTTTAAGATTGATCTTAAGTCTGTTTTCAATGTAAGCAGACGATAAAGTTTTGTACCTTCACGCATTGAAGAGTTCCTCGCAGTCGTTGAAAGTTTTGTGCGAAAAAACGTGGTACAATACACACTACACAATGTATTGATTTTCATTAACATGATAAAGAGACATTTATTTATCTCTGACTAAACAAATGATCTATGTCAATAAAATTTGTAATTTTTGAATCTTTAAATTCCCATGAAGGAAATAAGGATAGCAAAAACTGATTTAAACACAAATTGATTAAATGAGGTCAAGATCAAATGAAAGGTAAAGATCAATTAAGATTTCAAAGTAATTGAATTGCTTATATCAGTATGTGTAAGCATAGGAAGTTTGACAATAATTAAGGAAAAGGTGAGGTCAAGATCGAAGGTAAGATCAAGGTCAAAATGGTTATGTAGAAGAATAGCTCTCATCAGTATGCATTTATCTTTATTATTATTGGGTTTTTTTTTTTGGAAAAGCATTAGAGTTAAAGCAGACTTTTACATAGGGTAAAGAGGGACAACCAACCTTGACCGAATTTCTTCTCTAGATTTATATATTACTCACGGCTAATGTCAATGTTTTTGACGTGAATGGGGCAGGGCTGGATCGCTAAATGGCCTATGGGTGTAGGGGGCCAACACATTGCTCCATCCCAGACTCTTCCACAATGCATTCCTGTCAAAAAAGTACAGGATATACCCACGAGAAGACTGTATATAAAACAGTGTGCTAACTAGATACATGTACAACGTAACTATATTGTTTTTTATACATTAATAAGCTATAACTTGGTTATTAATACCAAAGAAACAAAACAAGAGATTTCCTTGGCCCTCTGTTAAACACTTACATGCGTGCATATATTCCGCATATAAAATTGTATCTCATGAAATAAGAAATGGTATAATCCAATTAAAATATTATGTCATAAGTATTAGTAACTCTTAAGTTCAGAGAAATTCGTACCGGGCAATTAAGTGCTTACGGAGAAAAGATAAGTCATTTTTCTATGAAATGACAAAAAAAATGTATGTTCCATCACAGTTCAGTGAGATGTAAAGAGTTAAATTATATACCAAGAGCATTTTATAGAAAACTATATTTTCTAACACAGAATTTGTTTCATAAGAAAATTATCATTTTTTCCTCTTAGAATATTCACAACACTCTCGAGGTTTGCTTTTGAGCAGAGTTTTGAATAATCACTATTTTAAAGAATCTTCATGTTTTCTTTCTTACAATAAATTTTCATTCTATAATGTTGATTATACAATACTCAATTAAAATCCAGTGATTTAATTCCTTACCGAAAACATTTAAAGAGGAACTATGGCGGAAGCCTTTTTTTTTTTAAAGAAAAGATTATGTTTTCTCTTTAAAAGTATTCCGTACTGTTCAAGTCTTCCACACACACACACACACACACACACACACACACACACACACACACACACACACACACACACACACACACAAATTATATTCTCGTGTGACTGAGCATTACTTTTAAAAAGCCTATCAACCTTTTAAAACTGGCCAGGAATTAAAAAAAATTTAAAAATTATACATCTTTTTTACAATAAATAATTTCAAAAAATGGAATTCCAAGATAAAATTTTAAAATCCATTCTTTTTGCTTCAGGAAAAATGACAATACTTTCATACCTAGCACAGCAAATTTTGTCTTAACCTATATATCGTTTATTTTTAAGCTCACAGAATATACATATAAACTTAATTTTATCAATCGAAATATTTCTTAGAGAAATTAATTTAATTTATAGAAAATAAAATAAACTTATTTTCTCTAAAATACATCCAGAGAAAATCAAGGAACACTCCCTATGTATAGCAAATACATCAATGAATTACATTACATCAAAAAATGGAATTAAAATTTTTTAAATGCACTGAAAACTTGTTGTGAAAAAATATTTTGAAATATCTTTGCAACCGTCCATCAGAGTTAGCAGGTTTTTGGATCATCTTAATGGGCACAAAAATGTTCCCAACACAAAAATTTGGCAAGTCTCAACAAATAATATTTGATACGTCACCATACAATGGCTACATAACAGGTCGTTGTATTTCATTTCCAAATTTATAAGATGATTTTGATAATTCTGCTTAAAATCAGAAAAAATGACACTACTTTTAATGATTTTTTTTTATTTTTAAAGCCTGAAAAATAATATTAATCGAGTGCAAAAGGTAAAATAAATGACTATGCGAAGTTCCTTAACTTACATGTTGTAGTCGTACATGTAAGAAATTTTAATGTGACTACTGTTGATCACTAAATTTTTGACTTATTTTCAAGGAAATACATTGTATTGACTTTAATAAAAATATTTACAAAATTTTTTTCATGAGTCCACGTGGCTATTGTTCTATATAATCTTAAGTAAAACACAACATGCAACCGAATTCATTTTTTGAGTACACTGTCTACTTAATTGCGCTAAAATTTTGAAATTCAGCAAGTAAATAGTGATTTAAAGTATTCAATGTGGAAAAGATGTGTTTGTTCCAATAATTAATTTGAATAATTTAAAGGTGAAAAAAATTGATTTATGTGTTAGACTTAATTTTTCTTCTTCTTTTTTTTTCTTGTTTTTGTTTTTGGTTTTTGTTTTTGTTTTAGTTTGTGTATACATCTAGACTCTAAAAATATACTTGACGAAAATTCTCTATACTTTTGATAACAAGATTATTTGTGGCATTTAAGTAAGCCATTTGTGAAATATTCTTTACATTCATTTACATGGAAGCAATTGATCCTACTAAATTATTAATGTGTATGTGAAATGGAGGACAAGCAGCATATTGATACATAGATAAAATAAGACATTCTTTATTTCCTCCAAATCAATGGAGACTTTGTATGAACAGGTAATTAACTGGTTTACTACAAATACATATTAAACATATTTATATATGTACAATTTTCTGCTAGAACATGCTTATTTCATGGATAGTAGACTTACATTGTAAAACATATCTTTACCTATCTTTATGTAAAAATTTAAAAAATTAGTAAAAGGCATTAAGGAATTTTTTTAAACTCTCTCTCTCTCTTTATATATAAATGTCTGTCTTGCCCTTATTCTCTCTCTCTCTCTCTCTCTCTCTCTCTCTCTGTATTTCTCTTTCGCTCTCTCTGCCCTTCCAAAATTCCTGCTCTCTAGAGAAAGTTAAACATTCACCAAAATGTAACGTTTGGTTGTGTTTTTCCGCTGTGATCAGATCTTCACATTCCTGCTCCTTTCTTCTCAGGGCTTCCTTTTGGTACTCACAGTTACTTATACTTACTTTTTGGAAAAATTCTGAGTTTGAAAGATTTCTCATTGTATTCCGTTTAACTTATCAATATGGATTTCCAAGAGAAATATTTTGTACCCTGCCAAAGTATTTCCAAACAGATGTACCGATTAAAATTTAGCACAAATATCATATTGCCACGTTTTAGATGTAGACATGTTTTATGCAAATTCGATTCTGCGCAAAACCCCCACAACAATTCTGCTGCTTCTATTTTAAAGTAATGAAGACTTTTCTACTAGAGAAATCCAGACACTAATATTTCCATTTTTCTACTATTTAAAGAACCTGGATAATTAATTGGAGACAAAACACCATTTCAATTGTCTCTGGGTCAACCACTTATTAGAAATAGAAGAGGTTTACTTCGTCTAAAGAGGGTACTTGTCAAAAATCCTTGTAAAGTCCCCAACATACTCCAAAAATAAACACATGACAAAAAGATATATGCCCTTAACGAACTTCGTTTCTCATTAAAAGAAATCCAAACTAAAAAAATTAAAAATAATCTATTTTTTTCTCCGATGTATCAAAGAAACTTGGACAGAAAATGTCTACAATGCGCGTAGCTTAAAACCCATTCTCAATTACACCATCTTCTTCTACAGGCACTTATTTCTGTAATAAAATTTTAACTCATTAGTAATTTATCTACCCGATCATATATGTCGTTCTTATCTTTTTTTCTCTTAAAACCATATAACAAAAAATATTATAAAGTTATGGAAACATCAAGTTAGAACAAGATTAACCAATACTTATAGTTCAATACTTCATTTTTAATATTTGAAACACATGAAAGTGTTTAATTTTGGCTTTATAACTTAAATCATTCCCCATTTATGTTGGGGGAAAACTTGATTATATATATTTTTATATGGCAAATAAAATTTATTAGATATTTTCCTACATAGTCGAACCACTTAAGCAGCTGACGTCAATCAGAAACACATCATATTTTATAATATTTTATAATCATTTAATTATGATTATATTATTCAGATTTGATCTGATATAAATCAAATACATATTTGTTGCACTCCTCATCAAGAGCCTGGATGTTTTTGAATTAAAATAATATTGTTCCAATTTATTCAAATAGAACATCAGTCATGATATTTTTTTCTTAAAATGAAGAGAAGTCTTTTCCTCATATGACTTAAGTCTTTAAGCAAGATGAGATAACACATTTCTGGAAGGTCACAGTTGAGGACACATGATAGAAAAATTCTAACCAGTGGAAAAGTCTTGTCATATTGAACACTCATATTGAATTTTGAAGCTTTACCTTTGACACCACAATAGCTATATGTATTGGCTAGGTTGAAGTTGACAGCAAACAAACGGACATGAGGAAAGACAGGGAAAAAAAAACCAATATACCCCCGAGGTTTTTGGATATCTGAAGCACAGAAAATAATGCAATTGAAAAATCTTTGTGGTAAAAACGTTCTTAGTGTCTTTATTTTCAGACGGATGAGACCGGTCAGCAGGGGATGCTCACTCATCCTTGGCACCTGATCCCACCTCTGATGTTTAAATTGTCTAGGATAGCTTTCCGTTACTCTCCATGGTGCAAGGAAAAAAATCTCAAGGTTTTTGACTAAAATGTCCTCTACAAGCTTAATATCAAAAGTAAAAATAATAGGAGATGAAAGATCAATGACTGAAATCCGGCCATATAGATGTAACTGTGCATGTAAGGAAAAAGTTCAAG